TGTTGTTGTTAGGTACCATCAAGTCGGTACCGACCCATAGTGACATTATGCACAGCAGAATGACACACTTCCTGATCCTGGGCCAACCTCACTATTGTTGCCACGCTTGAGTCCATCAATGCTGCCAGTTGGCCAATCCATCTCGTTGGGGGTCTTCCTCTTTTCCTCTGACCCTCCACCTTGCCAAACATGATATCTTTCTCCAGCGACTGCTCCCTCCTGACAATATGTCCAAAGTATGAGAGATGAAGTTTGGTCACCTTGGCCTCTCAGGAGCACTCTGGCTGCACTTCTTCCAAAACAGATCTATTGGTTCTTGTGGCAACCCATGGCACTTTCAATATTCTCTTCCAACACCATAACTCAAAGGCATCAATTCTTCTACAGTCTTCCTTATTCACTGTCCAGCTTTTGCATGCATATAAGGTTATTGAAAATACCATGGCGTGGGTCAGGCGCACCTTAGTCCTCAAGCTGACATCTTTGCTCTTCAACACTTTAAAAAGGTCTTGTGCAGCAGATTTGCCTAATGCAATACGTCGTTTGATCTCTTGACTGCTGCTTCCCTGAGTGTTGATAGTTGATCCAAGAAGAATGAAGTCCTTGACAACTTCAGTCTTTTCTCTGTTGATAAGAATGTTGTTTATTGGTCCAGTGGTGAGGATTTTTGTATTCTTGGCATTGAGATGTAATCCATACCGAAGGCTGTGCTCTTTGATCTTCATCAGTAAATGTTTTAAGTCCTCTTCACTTTCAGCAAGCAAGGTTGTATCATCTGCATTTCGCAGGTTGTTAATGAACCTTCCTCCGATCCTGATGCCATGTTTTTCTTCATATAACCCAGCTTCTTGGATTATTTGTTCAGCGTACAGGTTGAATAAGTATGGTAAAAGAATACAGCCCTGTCGCACACCTTTCCTAATTTTAAACCATTCAGTATTCCGTGTTCTGTTCGAACAACTGCCTCTTGGTCCAGGTACAGATTCCTCATGAGCACAATTAAGTGTTCTGGAATACTCATACTTCACAGTGTTGTCCATAGCTTGTTGTGATCCACACAATTGAAAGCCTTTGTGTAGTCAATAAAGTAAACATCTTTCTGAAATTCTCTGCTTTCAGCCAAGAGGAAGCAGTGACTCTAGAGGAAGGAGTTTTGTCTGTTTCAGCTTCTACGTCTTGTTGTTAGTGTGTCAAGTCAGTTCCTACTCATAGCCACCCTGTGTAGGATTTCTACGGAGTGATTAGTGAGTTTGAACCACCAGCCTTCTGGTTAGCAGTCCAGAGCTTATCCTACAGTGCCGCACGAGATCTCCAAAGCTAATATAGTACTCAAACCAAACATCTTGGTCTGGGGACCCTTTTACTTGTTAAGACTATCGAGGACTCCAAAGAACATTTTAGGTGGGGTTCTTCTATTGGTAAAAACTGAGAAGAATGTGAAATATTTGTTTATTCACTTAAAATAACAGTAATAGACTCTATGCTGTTGGTAAGTACCATCAAGTTGGTTCCAACTCTTAGCAACGCTGTCATGGGTTTCTGAGGAGCAGCTGGTAGGTTTGAACTGCTGCCCTTGTGGTTCAAATTGACCTTGTGGTCCAATGCTTTGTCCTACCATGCCACACCAGGACTCCAATAGACTCTATTTGTTAATGGAAATAACATTTTTAGAAAATAGCTATATTTGTCAAAACAAAAGTGGGTATTGTTTTTCCTTTGTGCAAATCTCTTGGGAATCTGATGTTAACAGAAGTCAGCTGAACCCCCACTTCTGCTATTGTCTTCAGTCTATTATGACATCATCTCACATTTTGTAGCCTCTGGAGAGAGTAAGCACAAAGAAGGCAAATAATATATAAGGTTATGAAGATAGTTTGACCTTGAGACATCCTGAAATGGTCTTGAGGATTCCTAGAGTTCCCTAGAGCACTGCTCTAAAGAGAACCTTCAGCAGCTCGCCAGTGACATTGGGGTGGATTGGGGCAGTTCCTGAGGGCTCACTAAGATGTTTCCTTAGCAGGGCCTTTTGTTAGATGCCATCAAGTCAGTTCTGATAGCAACCCCATACACAACAGAAGGAAAAACTGCGTGGTCCTGCACCAGCCCCACAATTGTTTTTGCTGCCGCTGTTTCACTCCATCTCATTAGGGTTCGTCCTCTTTTTACTGACCCTCCAAAGTGTGAGAGTACGTCTCACCATCCTCACTTAGTCTAAGGAGTATTCTGGCTGTACTTCCAAAACAGATTCGTTTGGTCTTCTGGAAGTCCGTGGTTCTGTCAATATTCTTCTCCAACACCAGAATTCAAATGCATCGATTCTCCTTCTGGCTTCCTGATTCATTATCCAACTTTCACATGCATATGAGGTGATTGAAAATAGCATGGCTCGGATCAAGATTCGTTCTCAGAGTGTGGTAGCTTTGCCTTTTAACACTTCTAAAAAGTATATTGCAGCTTTGCCTAATGCAATGTGTCATTTGATTTCTTGACTGCTGCTTATATTAGTGTTGATTGGGAATCCAAGAAGTCTTTGACAATCTGTCTTTTCTCCATTTAATGATGTAATTCAATGATCCAGTCAGGAGGCTTTTCGTTTTCTTTACATTGAAGTGTGTTCCATACTGAAGACTGTAGTCTCCGATCTTAACAAGTATTTTAAGTCCTCTGCATGTTACAAGATAATGTTAATGAGTTTTTCTCCAATCCTGATGCCATGTTCTTTTTCATATAATCCAGCTTCTTGGATTATTTGCTCAACATACAGATTGAATAAGCATGGTAAAATAGCAGTCCTATTTGATGCACGCCTTTCTTGATTTTAGACCATTCAGTGTCCCCTTGTTCTGTTCAAATAACTGCCTATTGGCCTATGTACAAGATCCTCATGAGCAAAACTTAGGTTTTCTGGAATACCCATTCTTTGTAATGTTGCCCATAGTTTGTTATGATTCACACAGTCGAATGCCTTTTTAGTCAATAGAGCACAAGTAGACATCTCTCTGGTATTCTCTGCTTTTAGCTAAGATCCATCCGATGTCAGCAGTGAGATCCCTCAGTCCACGTCATCTTCTAAATCTGGTTTGGATTTCTGGTAACTCCCTATCAGTGTACTGCTGCGATCATTTTTAATTCTCTTCAGAGAAATTTTGCTTGCATGTTACATTGATATTGTTAGATGATTTCCACATTCCATTGGGTTCTCTTTCTTCGGAATGAGCACAAATATGAATCTCTTCCAGTCAGATTTGTTGGCCAGGTAGCTGTCTTCCAAATTTCATGGCACAGAGGAGTGAGTGCCTCTTGCACTTCATTAGTTTGTTGAAACATTTCAGTTTGTATTCTGTCAATTCCTGGAACCTGGTTTTTCCCCAATGCCTTCAGTGCAGCTTAGACTTCTTCCTTCAGTACCATTGGCTCTTGATCATATGCTACCTCTTGAAAGAGTTGAACAGCGACCATTTCTTTTTGGTACAGTGAGTCTGTGTATTCCTTCCATCTTCTTTTGATGCTTCCTGTATCATTCAGTATGTTGCTGTTGTTGTTGTTGTTAAGTGCTATCAAGTTGGTTCCAACTCATAGCAACCCTGTATAGGGTTTCCGAGGAGCAGCTGGTAGGTTTGAGCTTCCAAAGCCTTATGATAGCAGTCCTTTGCTTATCCCATAGTGCCATACCAGGACTCCATTTTTCCCAAAGAATCCTTCAATACTGAAAGTCAAGGCTTGGGTCTTTGAATTTTTCTTCAGTTCTTTAAACTTGAGAAATGCTGAGTCACAGCAGTTTGGCAGACTGACAGGCGAGTGGTGGGCAAGACCCTGTAGCTACTTGAAGTCCCCTACTTCCATATAACTTGTACTGTCTTAAATCTCTTGTCCTTTGCTCCTCTGTGTGTGCTGGTCTGGGAGTAAGGAAGTAAGCTTGAGGAAGTTTGTCTGTCAGTACACTGCTGTGGGACGGAAGCCTGAGCCCCCAAAAGGGGAAGGAACTGCAGTTCTCTCTCCATACCGCACAAGGGCACACTCCGCAGTGTCAGCACAAGTAGAAGATTTGCTTTTTGGTTATAAATCTAATCTGTAACTGTCACACTTAAAGACAGGTGATACTGTGTAATTCATAGCTACCACTTAGTCACTCCTTACTGCCAGTCTGTTAGGTCAAAGAAGGTCACTGCCGGACAGTCCAGTCAGTCCAAGCACCCTATCCTATACCAGTGAAGGAAACCAGAGCAGGCTGGGTAATGGTGGCATTTACCATTTATTGTTTGCTCAGAAAAAATTATGTAAGTTATTTTATTCAACTGGGGCCAACTTTGTTTCCAATTCCTCCTGCATCCCCCATAAAATTAAAATGAGTTGGTGATAAAAAATCAGATACATCTGTTGTGGCCGAGTCGATTCCCACTCATGCTGACTGCTGGGCTGTCAGAGTAGAGTGTGCTTTCCCAGGATTTCAGTCGCTGATATTTTGGAAGATCACCAGTCCTTTCTCCTCTAGGAACCTCTGAGTGGACTTGAATCATCAGCCTTTCAGTTAGCAGCTGAGCATGTTAACCATTTGTACCTTCCAAGGATAAAAAACCCCAGTATAGCAAGCATGGCTGAGAAATTTACTCTGTTATCCAAGCAAAATCCACACTGTCCCCACCCCCCTTTTTACCAATTTCGGTTTTGTTTTTTTTTTCTCTCACTTTTATTTGAAGAAAATCAACAGACAAAGCTTTTTGTTGTTATAAATACCTGAATTAGTCTGCAACTTAGTTATGTGATTTCTTTTTAAAGGAAAAATAAAATATGGAAAAACTTTTTTTTCTGATTTATACCAGTTTGTGGTACTCATAGTTTCTTAGATTTTTTTTTTTTATTCTTAAAATTTGAATGGGCCATAATGTTAAAAATATGGGACCATTTTTATGATGATTTGGGATGAAGAGAACTTAATCTATAAAATAATTTCTCAAGAATGTGAAATTTGTTGTAATGAGTAACTTCTGCTTTGTTTTTAGGCCTTTTTCCTGGTCTACGCTCTGGGGTGTCTGAGCATTCACTATGAAGAGGTGAGATGTTTTATTTAGATATCACCCAGTTACAATTTTCCTGATGTTAAAAGCAATATTGTGTTGGAAAAATGAGGAAATGGGTAGGCTGATGGTTGAACAATATTAGGACACCCTGTGCAGGGTCACTGGAGTCCTGGTATGACGCTGTGGGATAATGCACTGGACCTCAAGGTCACTTTGAACCACAGGTTGGTGGTTCAGATTCACCAGCCACTCCTCAGAAACCCTCAACAGGGTCACTATGAGTTGGAACCAGCTCGATGGCACTCAACAACAACAACTATACATGTGGAGTCCTGCTGTAGTGCTGAAAGATATGCGCTGAACTGCAAGGTCACATGGACCGGGCAGTGTTGGCGTTCTGTTGTGCATAGGGTCACTATGAGTCGGTACCAAGTCGATGACTACTAACAACAACAACATGAGTCGGAACCGACTCCACGGCACACCACCACCACCACCATGCATGTGAAGAATTTGGAAATGGCATGTGTTTTGTTATATTTCCCATACATCTTTTAAAAAGTTGTTGTTAAGTGCCATCAAGTTGATTCCTACCCATAGCGACCCTGTATAGGGTTTCTGAAGAGCAGCTGGTGAGCTTGAACTGCTGACCTTGCAGTTCAGATAGCTTTGCAGTCTGGCCCATTAACCCACAGAGCCACACCAGGAGTCCTGGTGTGGCTCTGTGGGTTAATGGGCCAGACTAGTAGAAATAGTGTGGTTCTAATTCTCGTATGGCTTTGATACAAATGTCCTTACTTCCACTGAGTAAAATAGGAATTAAATTATTTATAAATTCTAATAATTTGGGGTCTTAAATTGAGAGTGTTCAGGCAACAGCCAGCTTTTACTTTTTCAGATTGAGTTTCATGCATAGAGACTAAAGAAAAGCTATATGTTATGGTTAAGTGCCATCAAGTCGGTTCCCACTCAAGAGTGGGCCTGTAGAGGGTCTCTGAGTTATAAATCTTTGCAGAAGCCAAAAGCCTCGTCTTTTTTCTGCGGGACAACTCGTGGGCTCAAACTCCCAACCTTGGGGTTAACAGTCTAGCACTTACCCTACAAAGCCACCCCCTCCCATTGTTTTATATAATGATCATGAAATGATCAGAACACCTCTGACCATTTAAAAAAAAAAAAGAGCTACCTGTGTTTAGAAGGAGCTCTCTGTTAGTGTAGTGGTTGTAAGTCAGGCTGCTAAATCTCACAGTCAGCAGTTCAAAACTACCAGTAGTTCCATGGGAGAAAGAGGAGGCTTTCTTCTCCTGACAGCCTTGGAAACCCTATACAGGGTCGCTTTGAGTCAGATCTGACTCCAAGGCACACCACCACCACCTTCACCAGTGTTTAGTAGCTACCATAGTAAAGACCTTGTCTTCAGCACTTCCCATCTTGTTCTCTGATCCTTACACCCACCTGGTCTAGTAGTTGAAGCTCTGAGAAACTAACAAGTTCATCTAAGATCACAGACACTGTTAGTGTGACCAGAAGGAGTATTTGAAGCTGTCAGGGTTGCCCCAGAGGCCATCTTTTCTTTATAATATTTCAAAATTATTGTTGGGAAAATATAGAGAACGCAACATTTGCCAATTTGATGTAACTGGATGCGCAATTCAGTAAATCCAGTTACATCAATCATGTGCTACCTTCACTCATATCCGTGTCCTCTCCATAAAGAAAGTCTCTAGGAAACTCTGACCTCTACACATTGCCTATTCTAGGTATTTCAAACTAGTGGAACCATACAAGATTTGTCCTTTTGTGAGTGACTACTTGCATGATGATCTCAAGGTGCATCCTTGTTGTAAAGCCCATGTTTTTTGTGCTATGTGTAACCTGCTTTCTTTGGAAGAGCGTAAGTCACATGAAGAATGAATTCCATTGCCTGCCTCCAGGTAGAGGAGCTGGGCAGCTGGGCCCACAGATGGGAGGGAGACTTCTCACTTTATGCTTCCTGTGCTTTTTATAAATAGAATACCTCTTCAATAGAATTCTAATACAAATAAAGTTAGAGTGCAAAAAGTAAGCAAAAGCGTCAGTGGAACAGAGTGTATATTTTATTTTGTTCTTTGGCGTATACAGTTTTGTCATCCATGAAATTCTATTTAAAAAACCATTTTCACGAATATCTCAGTGGTTTGAGAATGACTTTCTGGCTGAGGGTGACTCATTTCCCCTGATGGTGGCCATTCATAACCCCACCCTGCCTCCTATCCTGGGCCTTAGCTGGAATTTGTCAACATTCTGGAAACCTTACAGCCCCTACATTGAAACCATAACATCTGAAAAATGTAGCCAGAATTCTATATGAGACTTTTGTTTGTTGGGTGAAGGAGGGTCTGAGTGTTACATGCAGTGGGATTTGGAGAATCCATAATTGCATAGAGCCTCCAAGTAAGAAGTAACTGTGAAGAAAAGAAAACACACAAAACAACTCCAAATCATACTTACTGTGTTCAAAGCTTAGGTTCAGCCAAACTAAGCAAATCCCACGGAGGGACTACATTCTGAACAAATGGTGGTTTTTTAAGCACCGAAACATGATTTTCCAGAGGTACCTAGTTTTGTGGGGGGAGTTTGTGTTTTGTTTTGTTGGTCCATCAAAATGTTTGCTGAACTGACCCTTCTTGGTCTCTCCAAGTCTTACATTAAAAACAATGTTTTCTTTAAGTTGGAATCTATGGCATTGGATAACATTCTTCTCAAAAACTAGATGGAGCATCTTTTGGGAGAGGGAGAACTTTTACAAAATTGTTGCTAGCTTTCCTGAGCGTGGCCTGACTTCAGTAGCTACTAGTTGTTGTTGTTACTATTAATGCCTTCGAGTTGGTTCTGACCCAGAGCGACTCTGTCTAGGGTTTCCTTGGAGCTACTGGTGAACTTGAACCGCTGACCTTGTGGTTCAAACCGACTTTGTAGTCAAGCACATTAACCCAGAGAGCCACACCGGGACTCCAGCTCCTAGTCCTGTGAAAAAGTCTGTGAAATCTTTGGCATCTGTGGCAGACTGCGTACACGGAACACCCTGGCATGCACACACCAGTTCTTCTGCCTGGAATAGTCTTTTCTGGCCCCCCAGCACCTACCTCCTCCAGTCCGCTTCAGCACCCACTTTCCACTAAGCTGCTGGTTTCGCATTCTTAGATCTTGTTTTCTTAGGGAAGTGTCTCTAAGTTCGCTCGAGCAGTGCTGTCCAGTAGAAATCGAGGGGAGTAGTCACATATGTCATTTTACATTTTCTGGTAACCTTATTATGAAGAATTTTATAAAGGCAGATAAAATTAATTTTAGTAATAATTACATATTTTAATCAACTCAACATATTCAAAAGTATTGACATGTTTTTGCAATCTTCTTTTTGTACTAAGCCTTTAAAATAGAATGTGTTGTGAGAGGCATGTGGGCCGTGCACGGCCAGCTATTCTGTTACATAGCCCCCACTGGGTACTGTACATGATTTTTTCAGTGCTACTGCCCCACACCACATATCAACACTGCCTCACTCATTAATAAGTGAATAAATGCTTAATAATGCCTTTAAAATTTGTGTAATAACTAAGCATTTTCCAATTCCACATTTTTTCCACATCTGGTTAAGTGGCACTGATTACATTCATCATATTGTGCACCCATTAACCCTGCCCATTTCTAAATGGTTCCCACTATTAACACAAGTTCAGGGCCCCTGAAAAAAGGAGTCCCTCTTCCCCTTCCTCTTTCTACATTTGCCTGCTTTGTAGAAGTGGGTTCATAACAATATTTGTCCTTATGGGTCTGACACACTTCCCTCCACGATCTCCATGTTCACCTGTGTTGTAGCTTATAGCAGGACATCACTTCTGCTATGGCTGAGGAATAGTCCATTGTGTGTGTTGTTGTTAAGTACCCTCAAGTTAGTTCTGACTCAATAGTGACTCTGTATAGAGTTTCCAACGAGTGGCTGGTGCATTTGAATTGTTGCCCTTGCATTTAACAATTCAGTGCTTATTCTACTGTGCCACACCAGGACTTCACTGTGTGTTTACACACAATTTATTTATCCATTCATTTGCTAATGGACAGTATTTCTTTCAGCTGTTGTGAGCGTATTCCAATGACTGCTTTTCCCCCAATAACTTTAGGAGCCTCTAACGATCATGAAGCTCTGGAAAGCTTTTGCTGCAGTTCAGCCTTCGTTCAGGACCACATATATGGCTTACCATTACTTTCGAAGCAAGGGCTGGGTGCCTAAGGTGGGACTCAAGTATGGAACAGACCTGCGTAAGTATCTCTTGGCCTGGTGGACTTAAGAACCAGGGTATGCATCAGATGCGGGGGTGAAATTGAATTGGTTGTATATGGGCTGTTGCTGCTCTTTCTAAGAAAGTGGCCTCCTTCTGGCTTCAGTAAGAATATTAGGTACATGGATAGAGGAAGCAGAGAATTCTGGGAGTAGAATTTGCAGCCCCAGATCAGGCATTTTCTCCTATGTACTCTGTAAGCCATGTAGTTTAGGACCACCCCTTATGCTGGGTCTCAGTGGTCACTTCTGACGGACAGAGGAACCTGCTCTTTAACTGTCACTGCAGTCCCAGCCCCTCTGCCCCCTCCTTCCCATGCCAAGCATCACACTGAGTACTCTACCTGCCTGTCCTCACTTTTCTGATAGGGAGACTGCAGTTCTGAGAGAGTGGTTCATTGGCCTGCTAGTCTCCAGGGCCACTAACTTGCAGAGCTGGGTTTAAATCCCAGAGCTTATGTTCTTAGAAACTTCTCCTTGGTACTGCCTCTCCTGATCTCATTTCCTTCAAGTGGGAGGTCTAGAGCAGACAGGCCCCTCATGCAGCAGATAATGGCTGATGGTCCACTATGGGCAGTGCCGTGCCTTCATGGAATTTACATCTAGCAGGAGAGTTAAGCAAATGAATATGTCATGTCATTTGAGGGTCTAATAGATGCTGTGAGAAAAATAAAAGCAAGGTAAAGGGGGTAGAGGTAGCCCCTGAGTAGTACTTGGCTACTAACTGAAAGGTTGGAGGTTGGAGTCCACCCAGAGGCACCTTGGAACAAAGGCCTGGCTATATACTTCTGAAAGTCAGCCATGGGAAACCCTCCAGAGCACAGCTCTACTCCGACAAATAGGGAGTCACCGTGAGTTGGAGCCAACTCAACGACAGCTGTTTAAGGGGATAGAGACTGGAGGGATTTCGGGTCAGGACAAGACTCCGGAAAGGGTGGCATTTTAGGCCAGATGTGAATCCAGTGAGGGAGCAAGTCACAGAGGAGTCTGGGAAAGAAGTAGCTAGCACAGTGAACAGCAAGCCCCAAGGCCCTGTGGCAGGAACCAGCTCAGCTAGTTTCTGAAACAGCATGAGACAAGTGTGGCTGGAACTCAGCGATCCTGGAGCATCATGTGAGGTGATGGCCAACAGCTAGGCGGGCCAGGTCAGTCCCTCCATCTGCTGCCTTATTGATAGTGAGCTCGGGCTGCTGGCATAAAGGGGAGCTTTAGAGAACAGAATTATATTTTCTCACTGTTCAGGAAGCTAGAAGCCAGACTTTAGGGCGTAGCTCTCAGAGGAAGTCCTTCCTTGTCTGTGTCAGCTTCTCTTGTTAGCTGCCATCCAGTAGTTCTATGCAGATTAGAACTGTCCCTTAGGGTTTCCCAAGGCAGAATTTTTGGAAGTAGATCACCTGGCCTTTCTTCCAAGGCTCCTCTGGGTAGACTCAAACCTCCAACCGTTCAGTTGGTGGCCCAACAATTAGCCATTCACACCACTCAGGGATTCGTCTTTCAGTCCTCAGAGTTCCTGGGCTGATCGAGTACCGGGCCTCCAGCTCAGGTAAGTCTGTCTTCCTCCTTGTACCTGTCTCTGTGCAGTTCCACAGAGCACTCAGGAGTCATGAGGCACTGATGGAGCCTCACTCCCTGTACACAGAAAACATTTCCAAATAGAACTACACCTACAGGTAAAGGTGTTAGGGTTCCAACACATATTCCATGCGGTTCCAGTCCATCCATAACAGGACAGCAGCAGAGCCACCACTTAGGAAGCTGTCAGAGAAGTTGTGCTGACAGGATTTGCTGGTGGTTAGGTCAGGGCGGCAGCAGCATGGTGGTGGCAGCTGCGTCTGGTCATTAGTGTCCATTGTTGTGACTCTGGTGGCAGACCATCTCACGGAGGGTCTCTCGCGTGTTCTCCGACCTTCGACATTACCAACTATGATGTCCTTTCCTCTCAGTTGGCCTTTTCCTGATGGCACGGCCAAAGTAAACAAGCCGAAGTTTGCCATCCTCACTTGTAAAGAGCACCTGGTGTCATTTCTTCCAGGAGTAGCGGTGTAGCAAGTGGGAAGTGTATGTCCTGGTTCTACTTAGAAGATGGGACTGATCAGATTTGCTGACAGCTTGTACGTGGGATTTGAGGGTAACTGAAGGAGCCGGGAAACTGTATTTGCCTTCCTGTCTCGGACACATTAAGTGTGTCAGGTGGAGATGCTGAAGAGCTAGACAGTTCTGGAACACAGGAGAAGCCCTGGGACATAAATGTGGGAGCCGTCATCGCAAATGTGGCATTGAAAGCCACAGGCTTGGATGAAATCATTCATAGATCTTTGGAATCCTTTCCGGCTATGGAATTAGCACATTGATAAAGTCACTGAAACCCAGTTTCCACATCTGCCAAGAGAAGCTGCTTCCCGAGGGCTGCTCAAAATTGTTTATGAGGCTCAAACAAAAGTTTCAGGACATTTGAGAGAACTCATAAGAAGTCTTGGCCCATGAGTTCTTAAAATCATCACATAATTGTACCCTGTTACCCAGCCTTTTTAAATACACTTGCTCTTTAAACTCTGTTGTGATTGCTGATGGTGTTAAGTGTCATGGAGTTTGTTGCCACTCATAGTGACCCTATGTAGGGTTTCCAAGGCTTAAATCTTTTGTGGGAGCAGAAAGCCTTATCTTTCTCCTGTGCAGTGGCTGGTGGGCTAGAACTGGAATCACTGACCTTGCGGTTCACAGTCCAGTGCTTATCCTATGGACCCACCACGCTCCTCTTATACTCTGTAAATGCTCTTAACTTGGAATCATAGGATGCTCTCTAGGAGCCCCTAGAATCAGTTTCCTAAAATTTTATGCAAAATCTTGTGTGTACATTTTTCTGAGCCAACAGTCTATATATTTCATTAGACTTTCAAAGGGAGCACATGATCCAAAATAAAGGGTAAAACATTCTTTGGGATAAATAGTTCTTGTGTTTTCTTTCATACCTGAATTTCAGGTATGGATTTCCTTCCCCAGCCTAAACCACACGACCCATCAGCGTTAGCTTGAGATCAGTTTGCTGGTTTTTCCAGATAACTGGGTTGAGCAGGGGCCAGATTGTTTAATAAGTGATGTGCTTGTTTGCTGTTTCCTCATTGGCTTCCTGCCCCGTTCTCTCTTTCATGAGCCTGTAAGAATAGCCACTTGGTGTTAATGTTTGGCAGGCCTTCTCCAGTGTTCATATTGGGGTGAGATCTGAGTGTGATTTCCCAGTTGACAAGGCTACGATGAGGTGGCAGAGGGTAATGGAAAGGGAGCTCTTCCTGCCTGCGAAATCTCAGCCAAACTGTTTAATCCCTCCAAGCCTTCATGTGCTCATCATATCATTGTTGTTAGGTGCTGAGGTGTTGGTTCTAACACATAATCACCCTGTATAGCATTTCCAAGGAGCAGCGGGTGGGTTTGAACCACCGACCTTGCAGTTAGCAGCCCCATGTTTATGCTACAGCGCCACACCAGGACCCCATCATCATATAATACGTATGGTCAATGAGAGCTTTTTAAAATTGCTATGAGAAATAAGTGAGATGATGTGTTCTTAGTGGGCACTCAATAGAGGCCCTGCTTGTATTTTCAGTGATCAAGCCTAGCTGTGGGTGATACATCAGAGAATTTTATTAATTTAAAAGTAAATTGTCCTATCAAGTAAGGTGGATGGATAGATGGATGAATGGGTGGGTAGGTGGACAGATATGGATAGATATGAAGTGACAGAGAAGAGCAGGAAGGAAAGGAAATAAATTGCTATTTTACAATTCCCTGGAGTTCTTGGCTCCAGTTGAAGTATACCATCTATTTCTAGTTGTTTATGTAATTAACATTACATATGTAATTAACATTACATTGTTGGAGGAGAGTATTGAAGGTGCTATGGGCTGCCAAAAGAACCAATAGACCCATTTTGGAAGAAGTGCAGCCAGAATGCTCCTTGGAGATCAAGATGGCCAAACTTTGTCTCTCATACTTCGGACATATTGTCAGGAGGGACCAGTCACTGGAGAAGGATATCATATTTGGTAAGGTGGTGGGTCAGAGAAAGAGAAGAAGACCCCCAACAAGATGGATTGGCAAAGTGGCTACATCGATGGACCCAAGCATGGCAACAGTAGTGAGGTTGACCCAGGATCGGGCAGTGTTTCTTTCTGCTGTGCATAAGGTCACTGTGGGTCAGTACCAACTCGATGGCACCTAACAACAACAACAGATATAATTAATGTAAGGTTTGATGCCCAACACAAGCAGAGGCAGCAGTCCAGCCATGTGCCCACTGTGGATCAAATAGGGTGAGTCTTCTTTTCATCTCCCTCTTGGTTATGTCTTAAGTAAACTAAGAGGTCTTGGCTTCTTTTTCTGGGCAAACCTTTTAGCTGTGTTTCTTAACGTTTTCCACACTTGCACACAGGCTACACTTAATCTATGAGGACTTGTACATGCAACTGCTGAGAATAGGGACATTCTCTGATGCCATTGTAATGCTATATAATAGCTACAAACTGAACCCACTGCCACCGAGTCGAGTCTGACTCATGGGAACCCATAGGGCAGAGTAGAAGTGCCCCATTGGGTTTCCAAGAGCAGGCTAACTCTGCTGTTTCCCGCAGTGTGGCTGGGGGCTCCAGATTGCTGCGCTAGAATATTACCACCAACCTGGTGACTTAAAGCAACAGAAATACTCTCTCACACACTTCTGGAGAACCAGAAGCCCAAAATCGAGGTGTTGGCAGGACTGCCCTCAGGAGAATCGATTCCTTTTCCAGTCATAATGGCCCTGGAAATTTCTTTGCCTGTGGCCATCAAAAATGGTGGTGTTAGACCTCATCTGGTTTGATAATCGAGATCAGCCTAAAGCTGATTCCTATACACTGGAGATGAGACAAACCTCCACCCTCCAACCTTTTTACCATATCCTGACACCAGCCTTCCCTCCCACAGCACTCTCTGCTTCTCTGCTGGGTTC